CATCCACATTGAAGAAATAATCTGTCTTGACACCACTTTGGTTGCATCTCGCACTGAAGAAATAATCTGGTCTGACACCACTTTGGTTGCATCCACATTGAAGAAAGAATCTGGTCTGACACCACTTTGGTTGCATCCACATTGAAGAAATAATCTGTCTTGACACCACTTTGGTTGCATCCACATTGAAGAAATAATCTGGTCTGACACCACTTTGGTTGCATCCACATTGAATAAATAATCTGTATTGGCACCACTTTGGTTGCATCCACATTGAAGAAATAATCTGGCCTGAAACCACTTTGGTTGCATCCACACTGAAGAATTAATCTGCCTTGACACCACTTTCATTGCATCTGCACTGAAAGAATGATCTGTCTTGACCCCGCTTGAACTGTCCTGGCTCAGTGCTAGGAAATCCTGGGAATTGTAGTTCATTGTGGCCCCAGAGCTCTCTGAGAGAGAAGGATAAAGGTCTCACAAAGCTACAGTTCCCAGGATTCCATAGCATTGAGTTAAAGTGGTGTCAAACTGGATTATTTCTCCAGGCCGGATGCAGTGTTTTCTAAAAAGCCTCACTTGAACAAGACAATCTATGGCTAATCGGCACTGCAGAAATAATCCAGTTTGAGACCGCTTTAATTGCCCTGGCTCAATGCTAGGGAATTCTGGGAATTGTAGTGTGGTGAAACATTTTGGCCTTCCTTGTCAGGGAACTCTGGGGCCAAAACAAACTACAGTTCCCAGGATTCTATAGCACTGAGCCATAGCAGTTAAAGTGGGGTCAAACTGGATTATTTCTGCAGTACGGATGCAGCTGGGGGAAGTAGGCTCAAGGGCCTCATTCCCACTTACAAATGAATCAGTTTGCAATCCGAATCAATGGATCGGTTTGACAGCGGCACGTAGTTCACACTACATTTGCCCCGATCGCATTTTCTCGCTATAAAATAACCCACTTGTGGTTCACATTGACGAATGAATCGATTCAAAATGGACCCGCTTCAGCCGGCTGAAGGGCAAATTTAAATCGATTCCAATCCATATCTGGTTCACACTTGCGCGGAATCGATTTATCGAAAAAGACGTGGGGAAAAAAATCAGTGTCAAAAAGGCGTGCATTAAATGGGTCTAGCGCATGCTCCCCTTCTCCAAATCGCTTTAGCGATTTGGTTCGAGTGCAAACCAGGCTCATTTAAGCTGCTTCAAACCACTTTGCAAACTGGTTTAAAACGTAATGGGAATTAGAAAGTGTTTAAAGGTAAGAGTATGTGAATTGATGGTGAGAAAAGGGAAATTGATGTTAGATAAGGGCATGAAAGATAGAGAAACAGGAAAATAACAAGAAGGTTAGCGAAATAGGAAGGAGGAGGATAGGAAGGGAAGGGAAGAGAAGAGGAGAAGGAAAGTTAAGGAAAGTTTAAGTTAAGGAAGCAAATTTACAGACGATGGAAGAGGAAGAAAGGATGGTTCAAAGTTGAATGTTTTTGCAGGGGAAGAATAGTTGGATGCTAATATCATTGCCAAATACATTACATGATAAGTAACGATTGTAATACAATATAGATAGAGGTATGTTTGCTAGTAAATATGTAACTGTGTTAAATTGTGATTGTATGAATACGATATTGCTTAATGATTTTAAATGTTCATTTTTATTAAAATAAAATGTTTAATAAAAATACAATTAAAAAAAATAAAGCAGAGTGGGAATGAGGCCCACACTCATACTGTGAGCTTCTTCCAGAGGTCCTACTACAACATCCATTTGCAGGACTATTAGTCTTATTTTATGTCTGTATTTCTATTTTATTTTTCTCTCAGAGACAGGGCCCACAATAACTGCCTCATAACAAAAATCGACTTGCGATGTGCATCCAATGCCAACACACCGTTCTCTGAAAAAAATCCCCTACTTTCAAGTCCATGTGTAAGGAGGATGCAAGCCTTGTGGTTGCTATATTCCACATACACACACCTAGACTGTGAGCCTTTAAAAGCTGCTTGTCAGGAGCAAGTTCAACAGATGCAGCCTTTTTCTTTCTCTGCTGTGAGAGGACTAATGCATCATCTGTCCTTCCTTCTCTCTTTTTTAAAAAAAATCTTGAATTACTGAAACGGACAACTTACCCAGTTTATGTATGTAGAGAGATCTTGTGGCACCTTAAGTGAAAGAAAGAAGTTGGAAGCAGGAGCTTTCCCAAATCACCAAATGCATCTGTGGAAGTAGGCTTTAGTTTAGGAAAGCTCCTGCTGCCAACTTCTTTCTTTCAGTGAGTCTCAGAGGTGCCACAAGATCTCTTTACATACTGATTCTGCAGACTAACCCGGCTATATCTTTGAATTTATGTGAGATTTGTGCTTTAAGTTTAGTCTTTTAACCATAGTAATCTTAATAGGCTTTTAACCATGGTAGCTCCTTAGCATATGGATGATGACGATGATGATGATGATGATGATGATGTTGGTTATCATGATATCATCATTATAATCAGTATTACGCACA